AAAATTATTTTTTTCAATACCAATTGATGGGCCTGAGTATAATGCCAGTTATGCACTTTGGCTGAAGTTATTTTATTTTATTTTATGCTCAATTGCAGACAAAACAGTATTGATTGTGCACCTCTAAAACAAAATTTTACCTCTTCTCTTTCTAATAATAGCTCCTATACCTAACACGGCGGAATAGTTATTTTTATCTACAAGACCATTTGCAGAATCAGTTGTTGTTAACAGTTATGATTGTCACTGAACTTTTTTAAGATTGTGTTGAAACTCTACTGGTAAAAAAAAACAAATATATTGTTGCGCGCCACTATTAATCTGTACTTTATTATTACACTAGTAATCTTGTATATGGCAACACTAGTTACACTAGCGCCCTCTAGTGTCGAGTAGCAGAACTAGGAGAGTCGAGATCCTTCCAGAAATTTCGGGACCGATATGTACTCGAACATTCTAGATGTCGCTACAGTAGAAGGTTCTGGAAACTATCTGAGGCCCTATATAAGGCCGGTATAGACCACGACCGGGGCAGTATTTAATTGGCGATACAAGAGAATACTTCGAAGCGAAATAACGGCGAACTGTGTTTTATTATTAGTGTGATTTTAGATTGTAATTAGTGTTGTGTAATAAAAGTGTCAATTTTGGTAATTCAGTTGGTAAGCAGTTTTTAATTGTCTCGAACCCCAAGCTCGTAACAATTGGTGTCAGAAGTGGGATTAAATATGCCGATTTTACCTAAAGACGACACGGAGGGTATCCGTACCCGAAGTCAACGCCAACAGGAGACGGACCAGAGACGATTTGGCAATGGAACGCCTCAAACTTCGGAGGGCCAGCTGCTAACCACGGAGGCCGGCCCGTCAGCAGCTCCTGCATCTGTAGCACCTGACTTAGGTGCTCTAATGATGATACTGCAGGATCAGGCTCGCCGACAGGAGGAACAGACCCGTCGGTTGGAAGAGCAGCTGCAGCGCGGTATGGAAGAACAGATGCTTCTCAGGAAGGACCTTCACGCTACCTTCGGGAAAGAGATAAAGGAGGTGAAGGATAGGGTTGCTCAACATGATAACCGCCTGTCAGAAGCTGAAACCCGAATCGACCAAGTGAACAATCGGGTTGACAACATGATGGCTGATGTGAAGAAAACGCTGGACGACCTGAAACTTGGGGATGGAATTACAGCTCCCGTAATAGCTACAACACCTTCGCTACGTGGATTCAAAGTGCCGCCGTTCGACGGGAGTTCTTCCTGGTCGGCCTACAAAATCCAGTTCGAGGCTGTCATGAAAGCGAACGGCTGGAATAAAAGTCAGGCCATGACTGCTCTCACCCTAGGCCTACACGACCAGGCATTAACTGTTCTGGAAGCTCTCGGTAAGGAAGTGACTTACGAGCAGCTCCTTGAGGCATTGGAGGCGGGATATGGCGATGCTCACCTGGAACACGTCTTTCGTGCGCAGCTCAAAGATCGCGTCCAACGCAGTAACGAAAACCTGCAGCAGTGGGCCCTTGAGGTGGAGAAGCTGGTTCGAAAAGCGTACCAGTCTGTACATGCGCTCATTGTAGGGAACCTGGTGCAGACATTCATCGACGGCATCCGCGACCTTGAAGTCAGAGCTGCTGTGAGGCTCGGGCACCACGAGACGCTTAAGGACGCCTTGGCCCATGCACTGGAGGTGGAAGCCGTGCGGCAGGATCATCGTTCCCACCGCGTCAGGCAGGTTGCAGCAGCTACAGTTCAGGACCGCAATAAGGGCTACAGCCCTAGGTGCTACGGCTGTGGGGAAAGGGGCCATCTTCGATCCAGCTGCCCTAAACGAAAAGTAGAAAGGGAAGGTGATCGATATCGAGAGGGTAGTGTGGCTGACAGCACCGCCCAGCAGCAGCAGGGAAACTGGCGGGTACTGGCTGATGTTAAAAGAGCCCCAAGGATTTCGATCTCACAAACCCGAGATGGAAACAGCCTGATCATCAAGGGCGAGGTCAACGGAAAGCCGTGTAAACTAACCATAGACACTGGAGCCTCTCGCACGGTTGTCAGTTCCCAACTTATAAATCAGTTTCTTGGGGACTCCGCATACAACCGAGAACGCATTAATTTGGCCACCGGTCAGCGCATACCCGTCCGTGGAGAGAAGGAGATGGAGTTGAAGCTAGGCAACATGATCTACCTGCATAATGTCATCGTGGTTGATATAATGGACGACTGCATCCTGGGCCTAGACTTTATGAGGAAGAATTGTTGTGAGATCGACGTTAAGCAGGGTGTTTTGAAATGTGGACAAGAGGAACTTTTCGTGGAAGGGGCATTACCAGGGAATGTGTACAGCCTTAAGAAGATTGTTCTTCCGCCGAGATCGGAAACGATTGTGCCGGTTAGCCTTCCACGGAATCCTGGGCAAACTCTTCGTTGTGTACTCGTGGAAAGGGTAGACAATGATCTTCCATGGAAAGTGGCTCGAACCTTGGTCAGAACCGCCGACATCTCAGGAGTACGTGTGCTGAACCTTTGTGATCAGGAACAGATTATAGAGAAAGGCACATTGGTTGGTACTAGTGAGGAAGTGGATTGGTTGCGTCAGTGCCAATATCTATCGACTGGGACCCCCAGCAAGGATGGACAAACTAGAGTGACCACACTTTTAGAAGACTGTCGCAGCGTTCTCTCCCCGAATGAAATCGTCAAAGCGAAGAAGTTGTTACTCAAGTACGCCAATGTTTTCTCGTCAAACGAAGCTGACATAGGAAAGACTGGCTTAGTTCAACACAAAATAAACACAGGACAAGAATTGTCTATTCGTCAGCGGCCAAGAAGATTGCCTGTAGCACGTGAAAAGGAAGTGGAAACCATGATTGAGGGAATGGTGAAGGATGGTGTTATTGAACCTTAATCTAGTCCATGGTGTTCACCTGTGGTGCTGGTAAAGAAGAAGGACGGCATGCGGTTTTGTGTTGACTACCGCCGCCTGAACGACGTTACGAAGAAGGACAGCTATCCCTTGCCAAGAATTGATGACACGCTGGACATGCTTACAGGCGTAAAGTGGTTTAGTACGCTGGATCTGAAAAGTGGCTACTGCCAGGTTGAAATTGACCCTAAGGACAAGGAGAAAACTGCATTCTCCACAGCAAAGGGTCTGTGGCAATTTAAAGTCATGCCGTTTGGATTGAGCAATGCTCCAGCAACGTTTGAAAGGTTAATGGAGCTTGTACTTACCGGGCTAATTGGAGATGCCTGTCTGGTCTATTTGGATGACATCATCATCGTAGGCCGTACGTTTGAGGAACACCTTCAAAACCTGGAACGCGTGCTCATGAAGATTCAGAGTGCCAACCTCAAGTTGAGTCCAAAGAAGTGCTCACTATTCAAACGGCAAGTTAGTTTTTTGGGGTATGTAGTGTCGGAAGAAGGTATCCGCACGGATCCAGAGAAAATTGCCGCTGTCAAGGAGTGGCCGGTTCCAAAAGACAAGACACAGGTTAGAGCGTTTTTGGGTTTGTGCTCTTATTATCGGCGATTTGTGAAGAACTTTGCAGATATAGCCAAACCTCTGCACAAGCTAACCGAGGAGAAGCGACATTTCTGCTGGGATGAAAGTTGCGATATTGCATTCCAGGAGCTCAAGAACCGTCTGTGCAAAACACCTATTTTGGGGTACCCTGATGCGGGCAAAGAATTTATAGTTGACACAGACGCAAGTGATATAGGACGTGGCGGTGTGTTGTCTCAACGGAATGGTGATCAAGAGATTGTGATAGCGTACTTCAGCAAGTCGTTGTCAAAGCCGGAAAGGAGCTATTGTGTCACAAGACGGGAATTGCTTGCTGTGGTAAAGTCCTTGCAGCATTTTAGCAAATACCTCCTGGGGCGGAAATTCTACTTACGAACTGACCATGCTGCACTGAAATGGCTATTGCAGTTCAAAAATCTGGAAGGACAAGTTGCGAGATGGATTGAACTACTACAGGAATATGACTTTGTGATTGAACATCGCAGCGGGAAATCTCATGGCAATGCAGATGCATTATCAAGAAGACCTTGCCCTGAAGATTGCAAGCATTGTACTAGGCAAGAGGGTAAAGAAGTGGTATCTGCGAGGATATTCAGGACAGACCAGCTCAGCAATGAATGGAAGGACAGCCTACAACATGCACAGCAGGAAGATTCGGACATTAAGCCTATTCTGGAATGGATGAAGGCCAGTGCTCCTAAGCCGAAGTGGAGCGACGTCTCAGCAATGAGTTCGACCACGAAAAGTTATTGGGCCCAATGTGACAGCTTGCAGATTCAGGATAGAGTCCTGTGCCGTAAATGGAAAAATAGTCGGGGAGACAGGTATCATTTGCAAATGGTTGTCCCTAAGGCTAAAGTACCGGATGTTCTCCAGCTGTACCATAGTGGTTGTTCAGGAGGCCACCTGGGAGTTAGACGAACTCTACTGAAGATCCGAGAACGGTTTTACTGGGTCCACTGTCGTGACGATGTCGAGGACTGGTGCCGCAAATGTACAAGTTGTGCGGCTGTAAAGGGACCTCAAATTCGTAGTAGAGGCGCATTAAAATTGTAAAATGTTGGTGCACCATGGGAGAGGATAGCCATTGACGTTGCAGGGCCGTTTCCGGAAAGTGAAAGTGGTAACAAGTACTTCATGGTTGTGATGGATTACTTTACTAAGTGGCCAGAAGTCTATTTTTTTTTTATAGTATCGGGTAACAAACGAGCACACAGTCCACCTGATGGTAAGTGATAGTTGTGGCCCATAGACATCTACATTTATCCTCGTTTGCGAATCAAAATGCAGATGCGTTGTTACCCGTGAGGACTAAGATGGAATGCCTCTTTTCCAGTAAAAAGGGTCTCCGGTTCTCTACACTCACCATACGAAACACAGCAGTGGCTGCTATTTTACGCTGGTATTCTGTGAGAGCGTGGTCCTTCCCCGGTCGAGCCGACCCATTCGTGCTACAACTATACTACATAATATAGCTGCAGCATGGCTCTACCACGTATAAAAGTCTTCGCCATTCCAAATCAAGAAGCTTCAACAGTTGCAGATAAACTAGTTCATGAAGTCTTCTGTCGTTTTGGAGTACCTTTAGAGATTCACAGCGATCAAGGAAGGAATTTTGAGTCTCAAATATTCCAGGAAACTTGCCGAGTCATGGGTACTCAGAAAACACGAACAACTTCTTACCACCCACAATCTGATGGAATGGTAGAAAGATTTAATCAGACATTGGAGAGGTACCTAGCAAAAGTTGTGGAAAATCGGCAACGAGGCTGGGACAGGCACATACAACCGTTTTTGTTGTCATATCGAAGCGCTGTTCACGAAAGTACATCAGTGACACCAGCTTTCGCAAACTTTGGGAGAGAATTGCGGCTTCCTGCAGACCTGATCACCGGAATACCACCTGATGCCCCACGCAGTATAACCGATTATGCAAATGACTTGCGGAACAAAATGAATGACATTTATGAGCACGTCAGACAGACGGGCCAGCAAACGTCTGAGAAGATGAAAACACGGTATGACCGCAAAATGAACAACAAGGGGTTTGATGAAGGTTCACTAGTGTGGTTACACAATCCAGTTCGCAGCAAAGGGAAATCTCCTAAGTTTCAAGCTAAATGGGACGGACCGTACCGGATTGTGACAAGGATCAATGATGTAACCTACCGGATACTGAAAGGTGCCAGAGGTACTCCTAAGATTGTCCATGTGGATCGACTGGCGCGTTATTATGGGGCCAATAATGCTCGGGACGAGCATGTCTTAGGAGGGAGCAGTGTTGCGCGCCACTATTAATGTCTTGTACATGGCAATACTAGTTACACTAGCGCCCTCTAGTGTCGAGTAGCAGAACTAGGAGAGTCGAGATCCTTCCAGAAATTTCGGGACCGATATGTACTCGAAAATTCTAGATGTCGCTACAGTAGAAGGTTCTGGAAACTATCTGAGGCCCTATATAAGGCCGGTATAGACCACGACCGGGGCAGTATTTAATTGGCGATACAAGAGAATACTTCGAAGCGAAATAACGGCGAACTGTGTTTTATTATTAGTGTGATTTTAGATTGTAATTAGTGTTGTGTAATAAAAGTGTCAATTTTGGTAATTCAATCGGCAGTTTTTAATTGTCTCGGACCCCAAGCTCGTAACAATATATTATAGTACTTGATGAAAATAAAGTATTTCGTTACTTCGCATCCCATCAAGAATTTCTAATGTAATTCTTGGTATAAAGCTAAGACGTGATAATAACTGTAAACAATAGAATAACAAAAAAATGAAAACATTTGTAAATACTTGCTTTATAACCTAATAAATATTATTTGAACGTAATAAAATAAAACAAGGTAGTCTTCGGCATGAAAGTTAAAATAATTATTTTCGATTATTGGGTGCGTGGGTACGGGTGTGCGTGCGTGCGTGCGTGCGTGCGTGCGTGCGTGTGTGCGTGCGTGCCTGCGTGCGTGCGTGCCTGCGTGCGTGCGATTGTGCGTGCGTGCGTGCGTGCGTGCGTGCGTGCGTGCGTGCGTGCGTGCGTACGAGCGTGCGTTCGTGCGTGCGTGCGTGTGTGCGTGCGTGCGTGCGTACGTGCTTGCGTGCGTGCGAGCGTGCGTGCGTGCGTGCGTGCGTGCGTGCGTGCGTGCAAGCGTGCGTGCGCGCGTGATTGCGTGCGTGCGTGCGTGCGTGCGTGCGTGCGTGCGTGCCTGCGTGCGTGCGTGCGTGCGTACGTGCGTGCGTGCGTGCGTGTGTGTGTGTGTGTGTGGTATGAGAATACGTGAAGAGGAATAAAGGTTGAGTACTACTTCGCTTACCTCTACGAGGTTGCCACTCGAGAACCTTTCTTCCTATTTTTTATCGGTTTTCCAAGTTATATAGCCAGCCCATTGCCATTTTACTTTAATATTCCGTTAGGCTATGTCAGTTACTCTGGTTCTACTGCAAATATCTTTATTTCTAACTTTATCACGTAGAAAAACCCCTCTCCAATTTAAAATTTTTACATTTTTTAGATGATAGTTTGTCTAACATTAAAAAATCCATAAACCCAAGAATATCTTTATATAGTTATTTATACTTAGGGAAGCATCATTTTCTTATTTATTTAAATTGTTTGATTTAATTTGATAACAGTGTACCTAAATATCATACTCATAAAAACAGCGTTTTATTGTAATACATAACTATAAAATTCAGTATCAACTAATAAAAATAAGCAACAATAAAATTACATAGGTATTAAAAACTATCAAAATCTAAGTAACGAGAGCATTTTCGTCGTTCCACATCTAAATTATATAAAAATGCATTTTTCAATTTCACCAATCAACGTCGCCGCGAAAATTTATTCTTCTTTGGGCACTTTAAAAATTAATTTATTTATAAAATAATATTTACAGTTACCAGTTTACAGATATTAACTAAATATATTATTTCTAGTCATAACAATATTTATAATTGAGTATAAACTTTAAAAAAACTAATATATATTTAAACGAAGGCGCTCCAACACCGACGCGCGGTCCACCCTCGACGATGTCCGAAAATGGACTGCGACAGGGCGACGGAGCATGCGTGCTCGCGTAAATATATTCAATTTCAGGGAAAAATGATATATTCTCTTATAAAACGGGGAATAAAAATAAAACTCTCAATTAAAAATATTAATATTTTTAAGTCCTTTTTTTAGTGTAAGAACTATTTAAAAAGAATGTGCCGTTTTGGAGAAATTTTGCAAAATATGACAAAGAGAGGTACTGTTTGGGGATTTTTTTTCTAATAAGGGGTTGACAAAAATACAATTTTGTTCAATTTAAAACATTTACTAAATCCTCTTCTGTTACCGTGTGTTTTTATTTGTGGATTAAATGAATAGTTATTGAGATTTTTTTACTTAAATATCCAAGATTTAGGCATTTCAACCACTGTTAAGGCCTTAATGTAAAACAATTTCCAACTCTTCTGGCGAACAACAGAAAGCGTCAAATTCATACTGAAACGTTGAAATCTCAATTTACATATTGGTTATGTCGATCTTTTGTGGTAATTTTTCCTTATAATGTAAATACAGTATGGAAATATTGCACGTTGAAAGGAAATGTATATTAACAAGTTTCGAAACATGAAATTTTTTGAATTTAGAAGGCGCCAACTAAGCAACTTCTAAACAGACGTATTACTCCGTAAACGTAAAGAAAAGGTGGGCAAACGAATGTTGGATGCTGGCTGGGAGTAACGTGTTGTGATCACTTCTTGGAGAACTCTGCAGAACCTCTTAGTTCTGCAGCATATGCTGTAAGAAAGATTATAAGTCTCACAGATGTTGAGATAGCTATGTTAGTGTATTTTAGATACATTCATAGCGTAGTGTCTTATGGAATTTTTCTATGTGGTAATGCGACTGATAGCTTTATTTGTTTTACAAAATAGAGCCGTACGGGCGATTTATAACCAAAATTTTAAACAGTCCCTCAGAGAAAAATTTAAAGAAATAAACATATTAACTTTGGCATCTCAATATATTTATGAAAATGTAATGTATGTACATAAAAAAATAAATAGCTTTAATAAGAAGAAGGAAGTAGAAAGGAACACACATAAGCTTGTAATGCCAGTTATTCGACTCCACAGATTTAGTAATTCATTCCGCTAATACAACAGAATCCCAGAACATGTTCAAAGTTTGTCAATAAACAAGTTTAAAAGTTTTATTAAAGAAAAACTTTACAAAAAGGGTTATTATAATATCAAGGAATATATGAATGAAAATAGCCCCTGGGAATAAGGTGATCGCTACCATGCTGGTTCTATGAAAATTCATTTTAAAATAAACAAAATTATTGTTAAATGAAATTATGTTTAAAAAAAGTCCCGCTGGGTTTCTTGCTGGTTCTTCCCAGGACAGAGGTATTTTCTGAACCAGTGGTTAATAAATAAAAATGACTTTCAATAAGTATTATGTAATAATCAATATTGAATAAAAATCATTCCACTCTATTATTTTCTATACTATTCTATTCTTTACTATTCTAATGTTATGAACCTATAATGGATACGCTATTGCATTAGTAAATTCAAATCCAATTTTTTTATGTTTAGGTACCGTGAATTCGTCCGTGCGTGTGTAATTTACTTATGTATACCTTAATCACAACCAAAATCAACTATATATAGTTGGTTTTGGTTACACACTAATGGTACAAATGACAGATTTAATGCCTAGCATTCTTTCCCAAAGAACCATTTAGCTAGGCAGATAGGGATTAATATGTAGTAGGCGCAAAACTCAAAAGAAAAAAAATATTATAAGTAATGTAAGTAGAAGTAAACATAAATAAATTAAAATCGATATATTGTTAGGAATAAGGGTAAAAAAATAAATAAAAGGAAATACGAACAAATGAAGGTCGAAGAAGAGCCGTTTTCTTACGATACACATCGGAATAGCTTTTCATTCCAAAAAATCTCGGTCTCTAATTTCGAGTATTAAAAAATGCAAGATTTCTGCATAATTTATACATAGATTAACTTCATTGAAAAATATTTGTAATCGTAAAAATAATATAAAACTTTCCAAAAATACATCGAATTGTGTATAAACTTTAATGTTCTTTCTAAGCTTTCCTAAATAGACCACATTTGAAATGCAATAATTAGTGAATGAAACACAAAAGTATACCTTTTATTTATACCTACGTTGTCTTTTTAAGTTGTCGAACTCTAAGCGGAAAAAGCCTTCTCATCATATAAATAACCCTGAAAATTAAAAAGAAATCAAGTATCTGAAATAGCTATTTTCGCGTTATACTCGAAATAAGGGCCCGGCTGAAACAATTGGCACCTAATGCTGCGATATATTCAAGGCGTATTTTCAATTTCATTTATTCAGAAAAATATACAAAATTATGTGTTTATGAATTCTTGTAATAGTTTAATTCAAAGAGTTACATACGCGGTACAAAAAAAAAACCAAAGAAACAACAATTTTAAAAAAAACATGGTACTCACGTGCACAAGGTCTAAAATGAATGAAATGCTGATTCGGACCAGCTACTGACGCAAAATTGACCAATTATTTTTAAATATACGAGTATACATGTTATTCCATGCCTTAGATGATACAATAACTACAAAAAGTTATATTACAAGTATCAATTGAATATAACTTTGCGTAGTTATATAATCAAAGGGACCTTGCATTGTAAACTCTCTAAATACCTAAGTACCTCGAGATATGCTGGCAATTTTAGAACCTCTCGGTTAATCCGAGACCTTTACCTTACTTGAAATATTGATACAAATAAAACATGAACGTCGGATTTTGAAAGTTAGCCGTAACTACGTTTTGAGTCACTATACTGTATTGTAACATGGTGAAAAATTCGTACCTACGGAAAAATGTAGAAAAATCACTTGAGGCTTCCATGAGTGTATATTTTATATGTGATATTTTTTGTACAGAAGCGGTAGATTTTGACAGAGGATTGTGTTGACACCCGTGAGGACTAAGATGGAATGCCTCGTTTCCAGTAAAAAAAGGTCTTCGGTTCTTTACACTCACCATGCGAAACACAGCAGCGTTATGCTGCTATTTTACGCTGGTATTCTGTGAGAGCGAGGTCCTTCCCCGGTCGAGCCGACCCATTCGTGCTACAACTATACCAGTAATATAGCTGCAGCATGGCTATACCACGTAAAATATATAGACATTCTATGAGGGGACCCATGTTCAGCAGTGAACTTTAACAGACTGCTTTGTATGTATGGATGGACGGATGATGATATAAAAGACGGTGAAA